AAAAAAAAAGGATTCTTACTAGGAGAAACTGACAGAGGGCCAAGGAAAATGTCCTGTGAAGGTGTCACAGAGGGCTTGACCAAAGGGTCTCTGGGTGTCCTTGTTCTTTGATTTTGGCCACAGGTGGGCATCTGGAAATACCCAGAGAGGTCTCCTTCAGGTGCTCTGCCTTCCAGCAAGCCAAAGTTAAGCAAAACTCAAACTGTTGGCAGCCCTGTCCCTATCTCTAAACTCTCCGCATCCTCTCTAAGCTCTGCCACCTCAAGCAAGGGTAGATGAAGCCCACTGAAAACCACTCGAATATAGAAAATACCCTCCATTTCTCCAATGACCTATGTGCGACCTTTGACTTCCACTGACATACCCATGGCCTTTGTCAGAAGTTAGGGGACAAAAGAAAAAGTGCATCATAGGAAGAATTGCAAATGTTACCTTAGAAGGACAAGCTTAAAATTCAGTGCCTACAAATACCCATCTCACTTCAGTTCCCTCTCTGGTATAATCCCACAGAGGTCAAGTTTATCAAAACTCGGGTGTCTTGTTCCTTCCAAAGTGGATGACACCCTTCGGATGTTTTCTTGAAGCGAGATGGGGAAGTCTGCCCACTACGTTCCAGCGCTCACAAAATTTGAAAATGACAAAGTGACGTGTTGGAATTCAAGCTTGCAAATCCACATCTACATGTGACCCTTATGAATAGATAACGCTGAAAGGACTGCGGCTGCAAAGCACATGTTTTGGAAATTATGTAAATATGTGTATTTATACAATGGATGAAGAAAACCTTTGAAAAACAAATTGGGGTGTTTACATCACAGACCTTGAGACTCCAAAAAAGTTGTTATGCTCTTTTATGTCAATTTCTATTCACCAGCATGAGGTCTTTTATAAAATATTGCCTAGGCAATGAAATAATGAGAGGAAACCACAGGAAAAAAAATAAAAAGTTAATGAGCCCTCCCTCTGGACAATTACTTTGCATGCTTTAAGCGATGGAAAAAAGAGTATCTTTCAGTGCAGGGAAGTTACAAACTGTGGTCAGAAATAAAAAGAGAAAGCAAGCAAGCCTTAATATAAGTCAGCTGAAACTCCATAAGAAAAGAACTACCAAGACTGGCAGATCACTTGAGGTCAGGAGTTCGAGACTAGCCTGGCCAACATTGTGAAACCCTGTCTCTAACTAAAAATACAAAAATTATCTGGGCATGGTGGCAGGCGCCTGTAATCCCAACTACTCAGGAGGCTGAGGCAGGAGAATCGCTTGAACTGGGAAGGTGGAGGTTGCAGTGAGCCAAGATCGTGCCACTGTACTCCAGCCTGGGTGACAGAGTGAGACTCCATCTCAAAAGAAAAAAAAAAAGAAAAGAATTGGAGCATTTACTTTTTTCTACTTGAATGAACTTTGTAGCCTGAGGGAGGGATGAAATGATTTAATTCTAGGAAAGAAAAAAATGTGCTTTTCATCTTCAAAGCGCTTTTATTTCAATAAAATAGCTCCATAACAAACATATCAAGGCTGATTAGTACTCGTTGCTTCTTAATTTTATTTTTTAATTTGATCAATCAGAGATCCTCATGATACTCTGTGAGGTACAGTTAATGTCTTACTTTTGTCCATAATACTCATCACCTGAATCTTTTATTACCTAATAGCAACATTTGCCCTATGGGAATCATCTGTTTTAAAGTTCTCAAAACTAGTGTGGTCTCCATATGATGTAGAAAACTGGATTTCAAAATGGGTTGGCTGAAAAATAGCAAGTTGTAGATTCATGCCTATACTATGATGTGGCTATGGATTAAGATCTACAATATGCTAAAAGTAAATAATTTAAAAAGTAATAAGACAAAGCCAGGTGCAGCGGTTCACACCGGTAATCCTAAAGCTTTGAGAGGCTAAGGTGGGCGGATGGCTTGAGCTCAGAAGTTTGAGACCAGCCTGGGGAACATATGTCTCTGCAAAAAGTACAAAAAATTAGCCAGCTGGGGGTGTGTGCCAGCGACTTGGGAAGCTGAGGTGGGAGGATCGCTTGAGCTGGGGAGGCGGAGGTTGGAGTGAGAGATGAGAGATGATCCAGCCACTGCACTCCAGCCTGGGGTACACAGCAAGACCCTGTTTCCAAAAAAAAAAAAAAAAAAAAAGAAAGAAAGAAAATAGTAACAAGACAATATTCTATGATGTATCTATGTGTATACTGCATATATACATACATATATATATTTTAACAGGTATGACAACTTGGTAAATGAAACCTACTGAATTCATGATAGAGACTGGCTCTGGGGAGGGAAAAAAGGAGACTAGTACAGGGTAAGAAACCAAGGAGCCTTAACTTATCTTTATTTTTAAAAATACATTTAGGGCCGGGCACGGTGGCTCATGCTTATAATCCTAGCACTTTGGGAGGCTGAGGTGGGTACATCACGAGGTCAGGAGTTTGAGACCAGCCTGGCCAATATGGTGAAACCCCGTCTCTACTAAAAATACAAAAATTAGCCAGGCGTGGTGGCACATGCCTGTAGTCCCAGCTACTCAGGAGGCTGAGGTAGAAGAATTGCTTGAACCCGGGAGGCAGAGGTTGCAGTGAGCAGAGATCATGCCACTGGTTCCAGCCTGGGCTACAGAGACAGACTCCGTCTCAAAAAACAACAATAACAACAACAACAACAACAAAACCATAAACAACAACAACAACAACAAAACATTTAAAAGCTCTGAAGTGAATATGGCCAAATATCAATATTAATCAACTCCAGTAGGTAGCAGGTACATAGATACCTGTTTCTAATTATGGTTACTTTTCTATTCTCTTCACCTTTCTGTTCAACAAAATGTAAAATGTTAAGGAAAAGGAAAACCCAGCTGAGCTCAACAGAACCAAATGATGGATGGGTGGACCATGAATGAAGTAGCTGTTATCGGAAGGAAACAATCATAAACTCCAATGTTCAAAAATAAAATCTGATGTTCCTTTGTTTAATTCTTGGATGAAAATGAATCATCCGTCGAACAGAAACTTCCCGATGCTGCTGTTGGTAACGTCTGGTTGCCCCTAGTCACGGACTTGGTTTTCCTTTTCATCACTGTCATGTTTCCTCTCCTTCTCTGGGATCCGTCTTCCATGTGTTTTCTATAAAATCAGCACAACAGTTCCTAGTGAAAAAATATTTTACTGCGCATGTGTAAGATTTGGGAGCGTAGACTAAAGGAAGGTGAATTACAAGTAAGTTTCTGCTGTACTGTCATTTCACCTTGATTCAGCTTAATTAGCCAATCAGGCCTTTATTCTGACATCAGATTTCTCTCTTTTGTTCCTGTCTGCAGCCTAAGCCAGGACTGTCTTAATGTGCTTGGTCACCAGGCATGTGGGAGCTTGCGTTCTGTCAAGACCTGACACCAAACAGTTACTGGGCACTCGAAGATTTAATTTCTCCCTAATCTCCCACTCACAGCAATCTACCTGATTCAACTTCCTCCGTTTTCCAAGCGCTTGTGGCTAGGACAGATTCTCTTAGCCTCTCAGCTACTGCTCCTCGTTTTTGAGATCTGTCTTGTGTAGCTGCCAGCTCATGTCTTTATTCTGTGCTGGTCATTTTTCCAGCCCTGCAATTTGAAATTACTCATCTGATTTCATGGGTGGCTGGCAAAGGGATCTGTCAAATCTGCATATATTTAGGGGAGACCGAAAATAAAACTACATGCTGGAATTTTTTGAAAGTATAGACTTTTATATAGAGAAAAGAAAAATGTAGAAATACGGGGCAGGGGAGGTAGATATCTGTAGTTACTGGGTGACCCCCCAAAAATCAGTTTCTAGTTCTCCATGCTAATAATACATTTTAATCTATTTTTTAAACGGTTGTTTTGCCTTAGCTCACACCTGTAATCCCAGCACTTTGTGGGCTGATTGCTTGAGTCCAGGAGTTTGAGACCCACCTGGGCAACATGGCAAAACCCCATCTCTACAAAAAATACAAACATTAGCTGGGCATGGTGGCGCACACCTGTAGTCCCAGTTACTTGTTGGGGCTGAGGTGGGAGGATCGCTTGATCCCAGGAGGTTGAGGCTGCAGTAAGCTGAGATCCTCCCACTGTACTCCAGCCTGGGTGACAGAGTGAGACCCTGTCTAAAAAAAAAAAAAAAAAAAAGGTCAGACATGGTGGCCCACGCCTGTAATCCCAGCACTTTGGGAGGCCAAGGTGGGCGGATCACCTGAGGTCAGGAATTCAAGACCAGACTGGCCAACATGGTGAAACCCTGTTTCTACAAAACTCACAAAAAAATTAGCCGGGTGTGGTGGTAGGCGCCTGTAATCCCAGTTACTCAGGGGGCTGAGGCAGGAGAATCGTTTGAACCTGGGAGGCAGAGAGCTGAGATTGTGCCATTGCACTCCAACCTGGGCAACAAGAGCAAAACTCTGTCTCAAAAAAAAAAAAAAAACAAACAAAAAACGAAAAACTTATTTTCCCTCATTCTTTCTTGGGTTTGTTAAAATATCCCAGTAGTGTGGTTTGCCAGAAAGAGCATCAGAGCGTAGGCTTTGGAGCTCCCTGGCCTGGATTCAAGCTGTGCCCATTTGGTAGTTCTAGGCCTAGGACTCCTCACACAGACATGAAAATAATAACATTGGGATCTCTCTTTATAAAGAGTATTTTTCAAAATCTCTAATCCTCACAAACTACCAACCTATCACTCAGAATCTGTCCGTACCACCCAGCAAAAATAATCACCAACGAGTGATGTTCATCCTGAACGACCCTGACGGGACAGAGGACATGCAAAATGCCAGCCTCTGGGGTCTGAGTGCAGCTGCTCTCGAACACAGACGCTTTTGAAATGAACAATACCAGCACGAGATTGGTGTTTGGACCGGCTGACTGCAAAGGCCCTTCCCTCTCTGGGATTCCATGATTCTATGAATATAAATTGTTTTCTAGAAAGAAATTAACGTGTCAAGTTAAATCTGCACCCATTTATACACAGTCACAAGACTTAACAGAAGTTCCAGTTAGTTTACTGACTTGTTTAAAAAAAAAAAACAAAAAAAACAGGTCTTGCAGCAACAGAGGTTGGACTGCTCCATGGAAAAACTTGTCTGTCGCACTACAAACTGCTGAAGAATTTAGAAGCCCTCTGTGCACCGTCCTCAACCGGTTGCACTTGTCTTCCCTTCTTCAAAATCTCATGTTGGCCGTAAAGTTGATGGAGTATTTTCTCTAGGAGACCTTGAGAATTCTTTCTGTGTCATCAGGGCTCCTAACAGGTGCGTTTCACGGGGAGAAAGGGAACATTATTGTTATTTGGATTCCAAAAGTAAAATCCTAAGAACAGTATCATCATACAGAATGGATTTTTGAAATAACATTTAAGGAGCAAGTAGGTGCTGGGAAAATAACTTGTATTTACAATGAGAAGTACTATCTGTGGCTAATAACTGCATATTTAATAGTAACTGCATTTCTTATTAAATATTTCAAAGACATTAAAAGAGCTTCAAATAAAAAAAAATCTAAATGCCAGAAAGAAAAAAAATCCTGATCAGTGTCTTTATTGTGATGTCATAGCTTCTCACAGAAAATTATGGACTTTTGTTTGAATTTTAACTGAGAAAAATAGTAGCTCCCTTTATATTGTAGGTGTGTGACCAAAACATGATTATACAACAAACTGCCATCAATTGAACCACATTGTGCACATTTTCACACTTGATTACATATAATATCATACTTGCCTCTATTCTTTGGAGTACAGTCAGATGGTAAGTTCTTTGGAAATGTTTTGGTACTTTAGTATTCAGCACAGGCATATGATGGGCCTCAATAAACACTTAACAATTAGCATTTCAGAGAGTTTTATATTTATTTCTGAGTGATTGTCAATTAGCGGGACTCTGTTCCTCTGTCCTCCAGGTGATTATTAATGATGCAGAATCCAACTTACCAGGGGCTACTATTTAAAGATCTTCTGCTCTAGTGAACTTAATAGTCTCCCATGTCCTGGGGCTCCGTAGATTTGAAAGCTTGAATTTCCCTAAATCAAAGGAAATAGTGGAAAAATACTATGAAGGTAAAACCAAGGAAATGCATAGGGTATAGCTCAGCAAGAAAAGCACATATTCTATCATGCATGAGAAAAGAAAAGGAGTCATGGGCCTGGGTAAAAACAGAAGCTATTAAGGTTGAAAATGTGACCTTCAGTGGACGTATATACAGCTGTATCCTTGGACTTTGCATCTTTGTGCAACTTGAGCATTTATAATTACTCAGGGCATGGTGGCGGAGTGTTGAATCAGAGAGAATGAGGCCATGGAGCAAACTGCAACCTTCACTCCCCAACGGGAGGATGATTTAGAGCGTTCTCTCTTGACCGGAACCCAGGCTGCCACCACCCTCGTGGCCAAGTGTGGCTTGAATCAGAAAGTCCAGCAGTGGGGTGCGGAGGTGGTGCTTCTGCTTCAGTTTTCATAAAACGGCATTTTGGGTCATAGTTAGGAGATAGAATGGAGTGGTTAAGAGGGTGGGCTCTATGGAAAGTGCCTGGGTTCCTGAAGTCCTATACAGCCATTTCCCAGCTCTGTATTTTTAGGCAAGTTATTTGACCTTCTCTAAGCCTCAGTTTCCTCATCAGTAAAATGTGACAACACAGTACTTGCCTCACAGTGTTCTCTTAGGTCAAGTGATGTAATGCATAAAAGCGGTTCGTGTGGTGCTAAGTAAAAGATGAAACATGAGGCCGGGCGCGGTGGCTCAAGCCTGTAATCCCAGCACTTTGGGAGGCCGAGACGGGCGGATCACGAGGTCAGGAGATCGAGACTATCCTGGCTAACACGGTGAAACCCCGTCTCTACTAAAAAATACAAAAATCTAGCCGGGCGAGGTGGCGGGCGCCTGTAGTCCCAGCTACTCGGGAGGCTGAGGCAGGAGAATGGCGTAAACCCGGAAGGCGGAGCTTGCAGTGAGCTATCTGGCCACTGCAGTCCAGCCTGGGCAACAGAGCCAGACTCCCTCTCAAAAAAAAAAAAAAAAAAAGAAAAAGAAAAATTAGCCATGGTTTCAAAGTACTCTCCTGATTTATGCATCTTTCTTGAGACATTACCTTATTTTTCCAATTGCTACTCTAGGACAGGTCCTCTCCCTCCACCAAAAGAGCATTGCTCTCATTTATTAACGTGAGCAGGATGTCCACAGGACATAATTTCCCGAAGGTCAGTAGAACTGCTTCTGTTAAGAGCAATCACCCTCCAACTCTGCACGATTTGCCACTGACTGTGGCCCTTCCAAAGTGGAGGTTTAGTAATGAAGTCAGATGTGATTAATGTCTGCTGTTGCTTGCTCTTCCCATTGTTTATGGCTTTCTGTTGCCTAATGGCTACATGTTTGGGACTCCTATTTCTTAACAAACATTTAAAACCTGACAGATGACAGCTCTTAAGTTATACCTGTTTGTTAAAAATAGGATTCTCAACAGGTAGCTGTTAAATACAGAAGAGAGACTGAGTTATTAGGGAAGGTCACTGACAATAGTGATTGTTTTGACATGGGCTGGAAAGTGATATAACAGAGAGGAACAGAAAATGCCGGGTCAACACCAGCGCTCTCCATCAAGGGAACTAAGGGTTGTTCATTATGCAACAGGCAGGCATGGCACAGGCGGTGCCAAGAATTTGCTTCAATCTGCCTGCACCCTGTTCTGAGACTGAGTGACCTTCTTGGAAGTGGGTGAATTTGCCCTGCTATTTCTGGCAGCAGTTCCGGTTCTCAGGCTCTTTATTCTACCAGTTGCACTTCTAAAGTAAGTAAGAACTATGTTGTCTGCTTGATACTGAGGCCCCAGTGCCAAACACATTCTTTTGATGATGTAGGGAAAAGTCCTGCATAAACTGGGCATATGAGGACAACAGGCTGAAACTCTGAAGAAGGAGAGCATGATCTTTTCCTAGCTATTCCTGGGCAACTCACCTGAGCTAATACATCATCTTTTCCTAGGAGGAGAAAGAATATGAACACACACACATACACCACTCACACACCACATATATGGATACACATGCATACATATATAATAATACTGGAATCTATATTTTTCTTGTCTGTTATTAAGCTATTAAGGTTTAAAATGTGATCTTCAGTGGACGTATGCAGATGTATCCTTGGATCTTCCATCTTTGTGCATCTTGAGCATTTACAGTTACTCAGGGCATCATGGCAGAGTGTTGAGTTAGAGACAATGAGGCCATTATTATATTCATATGATGCCTAAATTGGCTATCAAAAAGAGGTATTTATCCTTCAACATGTAAAAAAGATTTGCCGTTTTGAAAACCAGCCCAAGGAAAATTGTAGAAATGACTGTTCTCTTCCCCATCATTTGTCTTCTCCTCATCATTATTTTCCTACTTATTTTGGGGTGTTTTTGGGGTATTAGATCGTTTTCGCATTTAACTTCTAACCTGAAGTTAAAAGTGAAAAGTCCCTCCAACAAGTCCCTTGTTCTCTAACCCTTCCCTGAGGCACAAATCTATTTTCCTAGCTGCTTGGTGGCCATCTCTCCCTTCACCCCCACAGATGCAAGAGTCTTAAACCACACATCCATTTACTGTGAACTTCCCCAGACTGCTCCTCCACCTGTCTCCCATTTTGAAATCGATGACCTTCTCTTGCCATCTTCTTTAGTTCTTTTTCCACCCATCCATCTCCTCTGTGACCGGGGATTGCTTGTGAAAAAACTCAAATCTGACCCAGTTATTCTTGTACTTAAAATCTTCAGTGACTCTCTTCCCTACAGAATGAAGTCCAAAATTCTTATTAAGATATATAAACTCCTTCCCAATCCAGCTTTTGCCTGTTATCAGGAATCCTTTCCCACTGGGCCAGCCTGGCAGCCTCTGCCCCGGCCATGCAAATGTTCCTGCTGTCTTTGGAACACAGAACACGTCCTTTGCTCTTTTTTGCCTGCAAGCCTTTGAGAGTTTCTCCCTTCTGCTTGGAATGTGCTTTTCATCTTGTCAAAAACTATCCCCCATCCAAGTTTCAGTCCATTGGTACCTTGTGGGTGATGCTGTCCCTGACTGTCCCAGCCAGTGTTACAATCTGCTCCCTCCTTGGGGGTCTCACAGTAAACCCTGCCGAGTTAGAGACTTATGTTGGTCACGCCCTCCTCCAGGTCTGCAGCACCCTGGGTTTCCATGACCCCATGACCTAACATAGTACCTGGCTTCTAGTTGGAGCTCAATAAATGTTTCTTGATATAAAAATATAAATTAATTAACTTGGATTTTTTTTAATACCCCTGAGAAAGTGATGGGATTTGCCTTCAAGGAAAGCCTGAACTTTTAACATCAATGGTTAAAAGTAGGGTAATTACAATTAATCAGAGCTAAGAAAATACCTTAGTGGTTACCTGGTTCAACCAGCAGCCTTTGCACATTCAACACTGGGGTTGCCAGATAGAAAATTACTCCCCCAAACTTACTGGGAGCAGAGAGAATTAGAACCCATGCAGGTCCCAATCCCCAGTTCAGGGGCCTTTTCTGAAAGCTTTTATTTGAAGTGTTCAAAATTAGAATTATCCACAAATCTCTGATAGCATGTATTTGACCTGCCATATAGATGTGGATGATTCTATAGATCAGAAAACTACTAGTTTATACAAATAAATACTGCAAAAACAAAAACAAAAACAAAAACAAACAAACAAACAAACAAAACTCTGTTATACTTGACCCCTAGGCAGCAAAGCAGGTTGAATGGGACTGGCTACAAATTTCAACCACATGAGGGGTGTTGAAAGTCATAGGAAAAGAGAAGAGGAGAGTAGCTAAGAATGGATATTTTTAGACTTGATCATGTTTATCTAAGAAATGTGAAACCTTTGGTTTGAAAAATCTGTCTGTGGGTCCCTTGCACCCACCTTGTCCCATGAGATTCCGCATTCTCCCTCTGAACAGGTCAGGCCCAGGATCCCACATGAAAGACTGATTCCTTCATGTCCAGGGAGCCGTAACCCAGGTCCTCCCAGAAGATAAGGGACAACCGGAAACAAATGGAAACAAAACAAGAAAATTTCATCTTTATGCAATCTTAGAAAAAAAATTTAAATAAAATTTAAGACAACAATTGACTTAATTTAAAAAGTTAGCCGAATATGTATTGTGTGCTAAGCACAATCGTCCTCATCTTCTGGATGAGGAAGTGAGGCTGAAAGAGGGAGATAACGGGCCTAGGGTCACAAATCAAGCGACAGGGAACCTAGGGCCTTGGTCTGTCAGCATCATAACCCTGTGTTCTGCTGCTGCCTCATTCAGAGTGGTGAAAAGACTTCGGACTTTTTATTGTAGCTGAATGAATTTGTCTTTGACCAAAGAAGTGGAGCCCAGTCCGACAGTGGATGGCAGGAAGGGTTCCAGTCTGTACAGCACAAACCTTGCTTCTAGTTCTGACAGAGATTCACTATCAAGGAGCGAGTTTTGAGAGGGAATGGTGGTGATGCTTTGGGGAAAAACGAAGGATTTATTGAGTGCCCAGGCTATGTGCTTGACACGTGACCATAGCATCTCTGGGAACTCCAGCCAGTATCAGACATGACAGACTGAGGACTGAAACTGAGACCACCTGTGTTATCACAATTTAGCTGTTTGTTCCAGGAACTCTTCCCTCAACAGGAGTAAGTCTGTAAATCAATAAATAACTGCACAGTTTGCTTCAGAAAATTGCTGTAGGAATTTATCTGAGACAACAGGCAAGCAGCTGGCTATTCAAAGAACAGTTCACTTGTCAAGACTTGCTTCAAGACCTTTGTGCTGCTAAGCCGGCCAATCTTACACTATTATGTTGCAAAGCCTGACCAATCTCAACCGGTTGCACCTTGAAAGACCTGCTGTGAATCATATGTGCCCCTAGGTGCCGAAACCCTATAAATATCCATTTTGACTTCCTTCTTATGAGGCACTGCTGAGACTTCATCATGGTGGTATTCTCTCTTCTTGAAGTAACTTCTAATTGATTTGGCTTTGGTGAATCGTGATGTCTGATGATATTTTCAGAAGATCAGCCCTAGATATTTTCAGTTTACTGATGTGGAAACTGAGGTTCTGAGAGCCTAGGTAACTGCACTTAAGTCACATAGCCCATAAATCTGGCTAGAAAAAGACTCAAATCTAGATGTCTGCTCCTGAAGACCAGGTTACCACAAAAGTCTTAACTTCTTTATCTGTGAAAAGAAGAAATCGCATTGGCTTATGAAGACTGATTCCTCCCTGCATGCGTTAAACTCTGATAAAAATATACTTCACCGTTGTTCAGGTGACAGTAATTTTCTTCCTTTCTCTTTTATTAAAATAGCTTCCCCAGTTTTGGTTTTACATGATTTTGTTTATCTAAACAAATTGCGAGCCTAATGGAAAAGAACTCTATAGGATTTTTCTTTTTATTGTGGTAAAAGACACATAACATAAAATTCAGCATTTTAGGCATTTTAAAGCTCACAATTCAGTGGCATTTCGTATAATCAAAAGGTTGTGTAACCACTGCCACTATCTAGTTCCACAATGTTTTCGTCACCCCAAAAAGAAACCACAGACGAATTAAGCAGTTACCCTTTCCTCCCCCTCCTCCCAGCCCCTGGCAACTACTAGTCTACATTCTGTCTCTATGAATTTGCCTTTTTTGGATATTTCATATAAATGGAATCATGCAAGATGTGCCTTTTGTGTCTGGTTCTTTGACTCAGCATACTGTTCTCAAGGTTGTTTCAGATTCTGTGTTCTATAATCTTCATGGCATTTTTTTGACACCAAATAGCTCCAAAGTACATTAATTATTATGACTGAGTGTTTTTCTCCTACTGGGAGGGGAGAAGAAATGGTCCTCAATGGTAACAATGTGAGAGGAAAACCTCCACACCCCTTGGCCACTTAATCTAAGGAGGAGCTCTCCATTCTCCCTAGACTCTGGGCTAAGGCCCAGCCAAAGCCCAGTTGCAAAACCTGATAAGAAATATTGCATGATGGGCCAGAAACCAATCACCTAGGCTTATTTTTCCAGCCTACCTGGTGTTTCCCTGGCTTGGCCTTCCTTGTGTGCAAGTGAAGACAGTGAGGCAAGCTGTTGGATGGAGCCAAGTTAATAGGTGACTTCAGGTGGGATCCGGCTTGTACTTGGGACCATTTATGTTCCATTTTGCTAGATTGAATGGAAAGAAGCTCAAGGAAAGTTTTCCTATCCATGCGTGGAGGAAGCCATTGCTCACTTAGAAATCAGTATGGCTGGGGGTTCATGCACTGCTGCAGATCTGCCATAGCACTGCCTCTTGGCAGGTTGGTGAGCCTCGTTCAGACACTTAGGCTGAAAAGGACGCTCTTCATGAACAGTTCAGATGAAAGTGCAGAAGGAAGTGTAACTGCAACACACCCGGAACCCTCCCCTCAGTCTCCTACAAATGTCAAAAAAAAGAAATTGTGTACCTAATACTGACAAATCTAAATCATGATTTCATGCCAGAGACTAATATAAATCCTTTTTCCTGTGACAGCTCAACACTTAGAAAATTTACTTCATTTCCTTTCTCAGTTAATGTCAAACTGAAAATTGATGCTTGATACATTTACTAGTAGGACATTTTAGGCCTTTTCCTTAGAGAATTTCTTTTTCTTTTTTCACCCCTCTGAGTTATGGATGATATGGAATGTAAAAATACAAAGAGAAAAGCTAAAATGTCATTACTTTTCCTCTTTCCAACCTTTAAGATAAAAACAAGGGTCACAATGAGTTCAAAATATTTATCTTATAAATACTGCATAGAAAATCATAAGTTGAGATAAATGTCAGAGAAGACACTAAGACATATGACCACAGGTAATTTATAAGGCAGCTTAAAATAAAGCAGCTCTCTTTATTTTACAGTACTAAGATTGCTGTGAAATTTTACCTTAGCTTTCTTTTCAAACACGGCAAGAATCTAAGGCAGGAATCTTAATGGACCCCTTGAAAATAGTTGTGATGATTTTCATATGTAGATTATGTGCATTTTTCTGGGATGAAGCATAGCCTTTTTTCTTTTTCTTTCCTTTTCTTTTGTAATCTTAAAGGGGTTGATGTCTCAAGAATAAGAAGAATCTTTGCTCTGAGAGATGGTTGGGCTACAGTGATTTTTTTAAAGTCACTTCCAATTCTGAGATTCTTTGAAATCAGCATTGTATTCACCAAAGATATTTTCTTAGCTGATAGGCTGGTCTCTGCAAAACAGAGGTTGGCTATATAATATATTGACTACTGTGGATTGTTTCCAAAAAAAAGTTGTCTCTGCATCACAATCATGCCTTTGGCTATTAATACCTGCTAGCAGGATGTAACCTTAGCTGGTTCAAAATCTCCCTGGAATTGCCACTATTTAAATAAGTGTTTATTCTCAAATTAATTAATTGCTGAATAGTATTATTACTAAATCAATTCATGTAATGTAACTGGTAGGTTTAAATATATTTTATTGCCTTTCCTAAACAGTCGATGGTTTTCTATAAAAGAACATTCCATAATATAGGTCCACAACTTCTTATTCCAAATTCCCAAATCCAGAAAGCTCTGAAGATAAGAGTTTTTTTCCATAACTCATCTGGCAGCACACGTGACCTTACTTGAACTCATTTGGCAGCAAGATCTGACTTGAAGTGGTATAAGGCTATTTATAGTCATTATTTACCCGCTTACTGTGAATAATCATACATTTCACAGTAGAGACACCAATGTTTGATTATAAGATGCTGATCTGGACCCTGCTTAGGTGTTATGTAATATCTGATATCTGCTTAGGTGTTATGTAATATCTAGTATATGAACCATATTACCTTCCTAAAATCCCCAGATTCTAAATCCCCAAACACATCTTGCCCCATGGGGCCTCAGATAAGAGCTTGTGGGACTATCCCACATATTTTACCTAAAAAGATATATACATATATATACACATATATATGCATGTGTAATATAATCAATGCATGTGATTAATATGTAATATTAACTTTGACATTTCCAATATATGGATTTTGTGGTCACCCTTAAAAAGGAATAAAATGCTTTTCTCACCTTTCCTAACTGGACTGACATCCAGCAAGTTATTTCTGATTTCTGATAAATGAACTCTAAAAAGCACTTGTTTACTTTGTCTCTACTAATTCTTAAAAAGTGCCAGGAAACATTAGCTAGAGTTGCTTCCTGATTTTGAGGACAGTGTCTGCCTTGTCCTATACTCTACTGGGCCCAGCACATAGTAGATAAAACAAATGAATACATGATTATAAATTGTATTTGTATTACTGAATTGTAATTGCAGTAAGACGACAATATATTATTACATTGGTTGGAAACAAAAAGCCTAAGAGTGCAATCACCTTTTTTGCCACAAATTTGAAACTTTTCCCTACAACTGTAACCTAATATGTGTTAGATTGAACCCAATGCCTCAGTGCCATCAAAAAACCATCATTGTTATCCCCTGCATAAACATGATTCACCTCTTAGACATCTGTCCAGAGTTCCAGCCTACGATGACCTAAGAGTGTGGCATTTTCGGAGGCACAGTTAGCTTAGATGTTTCTGCAGTATGGATCAGGAAAATGTAATTACAGTTCAAATTCATCTGACATACAGATCAGAGAAAGAAATATTTGAATGCTGGTTAGACAGGTTTAACGCGTTTAAGGAAAGGAGCTATATTATTAAATAAAATGGAAACAATGCTATTTCCATTAGCAAGATTAACAGAACCAAGTATCCGGGTTCCTATAATGTAGAAAAGGGACCAGTAGCTTTTCTATGGGAGATGCGCTTTAATCTCAAGAGTTGGAGGGAAAGCAGCAAAACCGCCTCCTGACTACCAGCCCTCCTAAGTCAAATAATGGATGAGAGCACAGACATGTTGTCCTTGTAAAGAGACAGTCAGGTCAACACGACTTGACCGACTTGCTTAGGTGTCTTGCCTTCTATAAAGGAAGAATCTGCCTACTGGGGAATGGGGCAGAGAAGGGAGGGGCACTTGGCTATTGGTGACAGAAAAAGGAGAGACACAGAGTCCACTGCTGGCAGTGCCCATCCAATCCCTATCTAGGAAAGAGTCGGTCTCAAAGCCGACTTCCAGTGTTCTGGGCCACAGTAAAAATGGATGCACTGGTAAGTCATTGCAACCAGGCTTCTCAGTTCTGACCCCAGGATTACTGCGAACCTTTTGGCTGTAACTGTCTTCCCTGTGTATAGACAGAGAACGTTTGGTCATGCTCACAGCGTGTGTAATAGGACTTGTAACCCGCTACCTTGTGAATTATTAAAGTGGCTTTCTGATTTCATGTATCAATCTGAGGAGCTGACTCAGAGAAATGCATTCTTACCAAATAGGTTTCTTGAGTGTTTGAAGCAGGGGGCCTGCAAATGTCCCAAGGTCATGGCCCATGGAGGTTTCCTCATGTCAGCCTCTGCCTGGCTCCCACCTTCCCAGTGTGAAGCCTCAACACTGAGTTTCTTGCAAACAATAATCCCGGTAAGGGAATAAAAATATAATGTTATTTAAAATGAATTCTGCATTACTGAGAACACACCTGCAATTTAAAAATCTCAAGTAAAGTCTTAATGCTTTGTCAAAAGGCAAGAGTCTATATAACTTGGACCAGCTGAAGATCCCATATAAACTCCAGCTTTTGTGCTAAGATGGGAGGATAATGATTATGAATCTGTTTTGAAACTTTGAGAGGGCTGTGATGTTTGTTTGCCCTAAATATATTTTTATGGATATATTATTTCTTACAGTATTAACAGGCAGAAGTAACATTTAAGATAGAAATCTGTACATTGATGAAATGAAATCTGCTCTCTTAGCTACAATGACTGTTTGGGTCCAGGGAATGCACTGGGGCTTGGGACGGGGCTTTCTTTTCCCTGTAGAGTCCAGTGAGAACAACGTCTCTGGACCTCTCAGTTAGAAAGGAAAGAATCCCATTGAAGCTATAATACAATAAGTGGCAAATAAATCAAGTATTTTTCCCATTGACAATTGACCTAGAACTTGGAACACGTAGTTCTCATTTAGCAATTTTGGTGAAATGCCTATTTTTATATAAAGATGTACATTTTCATACAGTATATACCACCTTCATAGTCATAGAATTTATGTTGGTTAGGTACAGAATTCCAACAATCGATGTGCCGTTTGTAGAAATAACTGCATTTCTCAGACATATTCGGAAAACCTCATTGTTTCCTGTGACACCAGCAGAGGTTGTGCCATGTATTATACATTGCAATTTGAGGCTTAGTACTTTTCCTAGAGAAACTATTCTTTGTGTCGAACAGTGAAAATCTAGATGTACAAAAGAAATAGAGGGTTATTTCACATCTTCTTGCAGTGCTCAGCTCTAGTTACGCCTGTTACCACTATGTGCCTGGACCGTCATGGGAGCTGGAGAGCTTGTTTCTCTGACTCTAGTAGAATGCAGTCAATGAATACTCAGAGTGCACATCCTGTATGCGGTAACGCATCAGGCACTGCAGAGTTAAAGATAAAAAGGCAAGTTCTAAAGGGACCTCTAGTCTGGTAGGGAACAGACAAGTGGTTTGGAGACATGAAAAAGAGACTAACTTAGGAGTCAGGCACCTAGACTTGGTCTCTGCTCACCTGTTGCCGTGAACAAACTGCCTCAGCCCATATGCATTACCTCCATAGGGGCATGACCTTGGGCAGTTCACAGGCCCTCATACTTACGCACTCGGAAACCTGCTTGGTAGGAGTGTGTTTCTCTGAGTCAGCTCCTGGAGTTGATACATAAAAGTCAAAAAGGTCAGCCGGGCACAGTGGCTCATGTCTGTAATCCCGGCACTTTGGGAGGCTGAGGCAGGCTGAAGGCTTGAGACCAGGAGTTTGAGACCAAACTGAGCAACATGGAAAAACCCTGTCTCTACAAAAAAATACAAAAACTAGCCAGGTGTGGTGGTACCTGCCTGTAATCCCAGCTACTTGAGAGGCTGAGGTGGGAGGATCACTAGAGCCCGGGAGGCGGAGGTTGCAGTGAGCCAAGATCACACCACTGCATTCCAACCTGGGTGACAGTGAGACGCTGTCTCAGGAAAAAAAAAAAAACAATTTAATAATGAGTTTATGTATATGAAATTACGTAAATCTTAGTTTTCTGATTTGTACAACGGGATTTTTAAATTTACTAACTCAGAATTACTTTGAAGATTAAGTGAGATGTTAATATCTACCCATCATGCCTTCTGATGCCAGGTGAATCTTTCTAAAACACTGTTTTCATCCTGACACCCTTGTTTATAAATCTCCATGCTTTTAGGAAGATTAGAGTTCAACGCTTTTGCATAAACTTTTTGATCTGTTCCCAAACCACTTTCCAGTTTCATCTCCAATTACTCTATCAAAATGAAGTACCTGCAACTGCCTATTCATTGTCTGACCATTCTTCTTGACTCCCCGTATCTCTAGGTTTTTGTTCATGCAGTTTTCTTCTCCTTATAACGTCCCCTGGAATGGCCATTCATGTCGTTTTCTCTCCTCATCTAAGGTCCATGTGGTTATCCAGCCTCTAGGTTACGCCACCCTGCCATCCACTCTCTCCTGCTACTGCGCCCTTGAAATGTGCCTAGTTCCAATTAAGATGGGCTAGAAATGTAAGATACACATCAGATTTCAAAGATTCAGTATTTTTAAAAGTGAAGTATCTCATAAAAATGTTTTAGATCAATTACATATTGAAAGACTAATTTTATCTGTTAATTTTAATTTCAATTTTTAATTGAACTAGAAAATATAAAATTAAATATATAGCTTGCATTGTGTTGCTATGAGATAGCACTGGTCTAGAGCCCTACTTTTGGCCCAAGCATCTGGCACTCAACCACATCTGCCTCATTCTTTGTCATTTTTCAACACATGGATGTATAATCTTCCCAACCACAGTGTGACTGCTTTGGGGACAGGCTCTGTTTTAGGCTGGGTGCATCCCATACAGCACACTCACTCAGTACATGATACCCTTAATTAAGAGCAGATGAACATATGAATCACAAAAGACTAATCACAGAAATCCCCTACAAAATTACGCTTCCCAGGTGTTTTCTCAGCACATATAATGTGAAAAATTTTGTCTCTACCGGGCACGATGGCTCACACCTGCAATCCCAGCACTTCAGGAGGCCAAGGCTGGAGGATCAATTGAGCCCAGGAGTTTGAGACCAGCTCTGACAACATAGGGAGACCTGGTCTCCACAAAAACAAACAAAAAATCTGGATGCGGTGGCATGTGCCTGTAGTCCCAGCTACTCAGAAGGCTGAGGATCACTTGAGCCTTGGTGGATTGTTTGAGCTCAGGAGTTCAAGACCAGCCTGGGCAACACGGCAAAACCGCGTGTCTACAAAAAATACAAAAATTAGCCAGGCATGGTGGCGCATGCTTGTAGTCCCAGCTAGTCAGGGGAGGATGAGATGGGAGCATCGCTTGAGCCTGGGAGATTGAGGCTACAGTGACCGGTGGTTATGCCACTGCACTCCAGCCTGGGCGACAGAGCGAGACCCCATCTCAAAGAAACAAACATAAAATGTGTTTGTCCCTTTAGGTATATTAACACTCAAAAGGTTTGAAGAGAGTTGTAAACATGTGCCCTTTCGGGAGGGGGTTTTAATTGGTTGCCTGGTCTGAGAAAAATTTTATGTTTTTAAAAAATATTATATATTTTATAATTTATAAAATGTAAATTATCTATAATGGAATTTACATTTTAAAAATGTATATTGTCGGTTTTGTTCCATGCTTACAGGATGCTTTTTGCAGTGCTGTAAAGATTGACTAATCTTCGTGTTACACTTCTTCACTTTGCACAATATTTTCTTCTGATCTTCAGAGCTTTGGGCCTCTGGTGACTGAAAAAAGTTACTAGCATGATTCCAGGAATGATGACATATTGATGACATCAGACCAGGTCTGAACTTAATATTATGTACCATGTTTTGCTCTTTCTTGTCTCTAAGAGGAATCCCTGTTACTGGAAATGATTCCCGAGTGAACAACAGAAAGAATGAATGGATTTGAAGTTGCTTATAATGGAAATGGAATTATTGAGTGCATAGATGGCTGAGAAGAGGGTGTCACAGTTTTACATGTATATCATCAAGAGGGTTTTTTTTTTTTTTTTTAAACAGGGTCTCACTCTGTCACAGTGGCACAATCAGGGCTTACTGCAGCCTTGACCTCCTGGGCTCAAGTGATCCTCCCACCTCAGCCTCCTGAGAAGCTGGGATTATACTCACGTACCACTGTGTCCAGTTAACTTTTGTATTTTTGGTAGAAATGAGGTTTCGCTATGTTGCCCAGGCTGGTCTCGAACTCCTGGGCTCAAGCAATCCACCCGCTTCGGCCTCCCAAAGTGTTGGGATTACAGGTGTGAGCCACTATGCCTGGCCATCGAAAGGATTTTTGTATAGAATAGTGGCTCAGTCCTCAGTTTTCAGATTTCTCTGAGATCAGCCATGAGTGAAAACAGGATGAGGGATTTGGGTCTTCTGTAAAGGAAACATTTGCTGATCGGATAGGCTATTCAGCAGACCAGGTCTTTAAATCTCAAAATGATCTCACCAGATCATCTCTCTAGATCCGCATTGATCTAGGTATAACCTTGCATGGGGCTGGGGTAGTGTTTACTAGACACATCAAGATCTTTCCCATGCTGAAGAGTCTGGAATTTTTCTGAGTGACTCAGTTTTACTTACGTATGCCTATTTTAAGAAAAGAAAAAAAACCCATACTATCTCTGAATTGATGACAAAATCAGTTAAGTGCAATGAGTTCTTTAAAAAGAGCATCTTACTAAAATGTTACTTACAATGGTTTAAAAAAATCTCTTGAGTGAAGAAAATGTTATTGGAATGTCTATTAATGTTTACTCTTTAACAGCATTTTTTTACAAGGACTTCAAGATTGCAGGTGCGTTCCTGTAGTTAACATAACAGAAATTGTAAGCCAGTACAGTTCCTGTAGATTTGTTCCTGTTTATTAGGTTGGGAACAGAAAAACTCAATACCCTGCAACCCATAAAGGAGGGGTGTGCAAAAATATAAACTCTTGTTGCTCTCAGCGCGTTTCATCTCTGAATTGCTATTCCAAGAAAAAGGAGAATAAGATTGTTGCTTTTAGTATTTATAACTCAATGCAAAATTGTAGAGTTGAGTAATTTTCCAAATTGGCTTTCCTTTCTCAAAGTGGCCGTGGGTTAAGAATCATTAAACAATCACTTTTGCTCAGCACAGAGCAAACAGGTTTTTTAATCCGATGTTTGGGAAGATTATTTTATTCAGTTGTGGTTTCTGTGGAATTTTAAGTGCAACAAAGAATGAAGGACCATTTGTTTGAATGCATGGGCTATTATATATATTTTTGCTATTCAGTTGTTCTTTTCACTTAAAAAAAAAAAAAAAAAAGATGACGGAGGGATTTCTGTGGGTGGAGTTGCTAGGAAAGGGAAAAGGAGGCCAGGAGAAAGTATTCAAAATGATAGACTTTGCAAAGCAAAGAACTTCTGTCATAGCATCTCAAAGAGATTTGCAAACAGAGGCTACTGATGAGGCTTTGTAGGAAGTGAACCTGAATGGCAAGGAAACTGATTGACTTCCCCAGGGTCGTTGGGCACAGTGGGAACTACAGTTAGACATTGTGGTCACAGTGGGCCATCTGCTTGAAAGAGTTTTCCACACCCCTAAAATTTTACCCACAATTCCCACAAATCAGCTAGCCTAATAATAATTAGCAAAACTATTTGCAAACAGTTGAAGGTGGAACAACTAATGTTACCTTTTGAAACCAAGATAATGAGACTGACAAGGTCACATGGTTACAAAGTGACAATATCAGAAAAAAGAAAGGCTAAGATAGTCCCACACCCCAAATATTAAACTCATCCTGAACACCTTTAATAGGAAAACACAAACAAGTATTTAATTTGTTATCTGCTTGGAGTTGCCACCTAATTGTGAGCAATACTGAAATTCTCAGGAAGAAACCCAAACTTGACATTTAAAATGCATCATAGGTAAGTTTTGTGTCATAAGTGGGAAGAAAACAGTGTGATCTTGCTACTCCTAATTAACAGCTATTAGCAAGGAAATATGAAGAGCGGAAAAATGGAACTGTAAATGTTGAGAGATGTTGAAAATCAGAGCTTTAGGAAATGATTTGTGAGAAATCCATGCTCCCAGGAAAATAAATGTATCAAGAACTAGATGTTCTAGATGTTTCTAGCTTATTCGAAAATTGAAGGCCAGGCATGGTGGCTCAAGCTCATATTTTCAGCACTTTGGGAGGCCAAGGCAGGCGGACTGTTTGAGCTCTGGAGTTCCAGAGCAGCCTGGGCAACATAGGGAGACTCTGTCTCTACAAAAACTACAAAAAAAAAAAAAAAAAAAAAAAAAATCCAGGCTTGGTGGCACGGGGCTGTAGTCCCAACTACTCACTCAGGAGGCTTAGGTGGGAGGACCACCTGAACCTGGGAGGTCGAGGCTGCAGTAAGCCATGATTGTGCCACTGCACTACCAGCCCGGGCAACAGAGTGAGACCCTGTCCTAAAAAGAATTGAAGAAGTGCTCCAACCCTGGGCGCAGTGGCTTAAGCCTGTAATCCCAGCACTTTGGGAGGCCGAGGCGGGCGGATCAAGAGGTCAGGAGATGGAGACCATCCTGGCTAACACGGTGAAACTCCGTCTCTACTAAAAAATAAAAAAAATTGGCCAGGCGGGGTGGCGGGCACTTGAAGTCCCAGCTACTCGGGAGGCTGAGGCAGGAGAATGGCATGAACCCGGGAGGCGGAGGTTGCAGTGAGCCGAGATCGCGCCACTGCACTCCAGTCTGGGCAACAGAGCAAGACTC